TAGGGAGCAGCAGTGCTGGGAGCACTCTAGAGGGGACCAGAAGAAATACCAGCATCAGGTCTTTCTACTTGTGAGTGCTCCCTATAACCAGAACTCAGGATGGATTAAATGACCAAGCAGGGAGTGGCCAAATTTTGGAAATGAGATCATGTCAATCTTTGAGTACGTCAGCTCACCCAGCTGTTTGAGATGTCATTCAACTGTTTACAGGTGACTTCACTCCCTCAGCCCCCAGGGAGAAGGCGGCTGTCACACAAGTCTAGCCATTCCCAGAGTCCTACAGGAACTCTGAGCTGGCCCTCTGGCCCCCTAGTCTGAATTGGATGGTTTGAGCTGGCCCTTAAGACCTAAGGGTGGTCACGCCCCTCTGAAGAGTCTCAGGTTCCCCTATGGCCTCCTGACCTTAGCACTCAGGGTACCTCTACCATTGTCAGGGATGGCCCTGGGTGACAGTCCCTGGATTCTGTTTTCAGGAACTGAGTTCCATTCCAGACTCCTAACATGATTGGCTTATGATTTGACCATTGTCTATCTCACTGGAGGCTTCCTCGGGTACAGCTCTGGTTGGCACCCCCAAAACACTCAACCCTAAATAAATATATCTTGTACCACTTTCTGCATTCCCATCTGTCATGGTCTACTTCCTTGGCCACAGCAAGCCAGTGCCAGGGACAGGTTCCAATGTGTTAGCAGGTGGAGCTCTGGGTCCAGAACATAGGCGACACACAGACAGACAGTCTGTCAAGGAGTTAGCAGCATTTTGGGTCCCATGATGAAGCGGGGCTGGGGACCTCCCAAGGTGGCACAGGCCTCATTAGGTCACCAGTAATCCCAGAGGTACAGGCAGCAGGATCTGTGCTGAGGTGGAGAAGCAGCTGTACCCCCTGCCTGCAGGTCAGGGGAACAGGGAAGGCTGGGAATGCCAGTGAGGTTGCCACTCTCCCAAGCTATCAGCTCCTCCTGGGGCTAACTCTAACTCTAATGCTAACCCTGTGGTCCATATCCCAAGAAATTCAGCTCCCCGCCCTGTCCCTTTAGGCCCTTGCATGGTGCTTAGCACATTAAGTACATACCAGTAAATGTTTGTCAGATGAGTGGAGGAGTCTGAAAGTAAGATCTCCTGCTCACCTGCAATTGCTGATCTCTTGGCAAAACTGGTGGCAGATGCCCTGTTGCCTTCATTGCCTCTGAAGAGCTCTCTGGACCTGCCAGTCGCCTTCTTTGCAAGCCTCCTTGGCCAGTCAACAGAACAGGTTTTGGGAGTCATGGTCATTCTCCAGTCTGGGCAGAAACTTGATTTCACTCCTGTCAGACTGGTTAGGTGACTTCATCCCAAGGTACTGCATGCTAAATACTTCATGGCATCATGTCTCCCACAGTCCAGTCTATTTTCCTGTGGTGAGGCAGGAGCAGAGGCAGATAGCATGCATGAGAGGCGAAGGCCTCCTGCAGCACAGCTCCACAGAGGATCTCAGCAAGTGCTGGCCAAGGCCATTTCCTCAGAGATGCTTGGCAGGATGAGAAGATGCCTCCCATGATGTGTTCCTTCTTTCACTACCCTTTATTCTGTAGCTAGCTCTGTCCAAGAGCTGGAGACTTCCTCAGTTACAGCTCTGGCTGGCACCCTTAAAACACTCAACCTAAATAAATATATCTTGTACCATTTTCTGCATTTCCATCTGTCATGGTCCACTTCCTTGGCCACAGCAAGCCAGTGCCAGGGATAGGCCCCAGTGTGCTAGCAGGTAGAGCTGCCAGGTGCCTTCTCTGCAAGCCTCCTGGTCTCATGAACCAGATCCCTGCTCTCATGAAGCTCACATTTTAGTGCAGGAAGACAGTGATAAACAAACAATATTTCAGGTAGTGAGAAATACTAAGAAGAAAAATCAAACACAGTAAGAGGAGTTGGAATGGCTGGAAAGGATCTGAGCTGGCTGCCCTTGGAGAGAGAACATTTGGAAAAGCTGGATCATAAGGCTGTGGTGGAGATTCTGAGCTTCTTCCAAGTGACATGAGGAGCCATTAAAGAGTTCTGAGTGGAGAAGAGACACGACCCAACCTATGTCACACAAGAACACACTGTGAATAAGCCTTGCACAGAAGACAAACATTGCACCATGTCGCTCATATGTGGAAGCTGAGAGCTGGTCTCATTGAGGTAGCAAGCAGAACATGGCCAGCAGAGGCCAAGGAGGAGTGAGAGTGTAGGTAGAAGCCTGTTAGCAGTTATAAATTACAGACAGAGAACAAGAATAAGTTCTAGTGTTCTGTGTGGCACGATGAGGTAACTATAGTTAGCAATACATATTACGTATTTCCAAACAGAAGGACTTGGGGTGTTGTCACCACAAGTAGTACATGTCTCAAGTGACAGATACACCAAGTACTTTGATTTAATTCTCATGTGTTTTATACATGTGTCAAAATATTACATTGTTCCCTACAAATATGTACAGTTACTGTCAATTAAAGATAAAACAAAAAGGCCAGGCATGATGGTGCATGCCTGTAACCCCAGCACTCCTGAGAGGCTCAGGCAAGGTGATTGTGAGTTTAAGCCCAGCCTGGGCAACTTAGTGACTTAGCCAGTCCTTGTCTCAAAATAAAAAATGAAAAAGGGATGTAGCTGTAGCTAAGTGCAAGGGCCGTGTGTTCAGTCCCACATACCTACAGACATGTACACATGTATACATACACACATACATACAGAAGTCCTTCAGAAAATATTACAAATCATAAAGAATAAATTCAAAGAAAATTGGTATTAAAGCAAAGAACTGTTAGCTGGGGATGGTGAACACCAGTAATCCCATCTACATGGGAGACTGAGGCCATAGAATCACAAGTTCAAGGCCAGGCTGAGCAATTTAGTAAACCTTATCTCAAAATAAAATATTTAAAGGCTTGGAGATGTAGTACAGTGGCAGAGTGCTTACTTAGGGTGTGCATGGCCTGGGGTTCAATTCCCAGTACCTCAAAAAATGACTATTCAAAAATAAGCCAACTCCCTCTTTAAAAGGAGAAGAGGAACACACTTGGGTGAGAGCAGGGAGACAGGAGGCTTTGCACGCATCCCACTCAGCAATCATGGTGCCTTGGACTAAGGTGGTCACCATGGAAGTGTTTGGGAAATGGATGGACTCTGGGCTACATGGCAAAGGCACAGGCCTCAGAATTTTCTGGCTGATCTAAAGTAAAGCTTTACAGAAAAATAAAAGTCAAGGATGACTTGGGGTGACTCAGATCTGAGTAAAGAGGAAAAATGAAGTTACCATGAGGAAATGTTTTCAACCCTGAGAGCTTGTATTTCTCTGAAACCAGGAAGGAAGGAAAGAACATGATAAGGATCTGGGCACGATTGTCCTAGTCCACTGAAGTTGGTGGCCCTGCAGATGTGATGCTGCTGGGCACAAGGAGGACCATGATGCTCATGTGGGCATGTGGTACAAGTAATAAGGAGCGCTTTGTGTCTGAAAAGGGCAACACGGCAGGGTGCGCTGGGATATGTGCACAATACACCCCATGAGTCTTGTTAAAATAGCAGCCCGGAGGGCAGTGACTCACCTTGTTTTAGCCAACATAAATACGAGAATTTTGACATGAACCACTCAACTCTAATATGTTCTATGGCAAAATCTTGAGGTCTTATTTGGGACTTTGCGTATAGGAATTTCTCTCCCTGGAATGAGAACCACAATCAGTTTATTGTAAATTCTCATAGATAGTAAATTATTAAGTGCTGAACAGAAGGGTTTAATCTTGGGTTTTAGTTCCTTCTTCCTTAGAAGCTGGTAAGAACCCATAACTAGTGTGGCCAAGAGTCCAGGCATTTCCCCTCAGGTTTCCTACAAGGATGCCCCCGCAGGTACCACACTGAGGTCATCCATATGGTGGGGTTTGCTCTAAAATGTGGCTTTTTGCTTTAAACTGTGTCCCTACTCATGGTCAGGATTCTTAGTTTTTGCTTAGCCTTATAGTATTTCAAAGAGGACTTGTTTCTCTTAATGTACTTTACAAAATGCTGTAGGCCAGGTTCCTTTCCACCTGAGAAGGCCACATGATGAGGTAGTTTTGTTTTCCCTGCAGGCTGTTTCTCTTTAGGATCAATTTGCTCTGTAGGGTTTGAGGGACATCTTCAAACCCTTCTGAGCTGGGTGTGGTGTTTCAAGCCTATAATCGCAGCACTTGGGAGACTGAGGCAGGAGGATCACTATGAGTTCGAGGCCGGCCTAAGATATATATGAGTTCAAGGCCAGTCTGAACTACAGAGCAAGACCCTTTCTCAAAATAAAACAAAACAAAACAAAGCAAAACCTTCTGCTATGGTTTGAATTAGGGTTGAGGTATGTTTCCTAAAGCTCTGTGTGTTGGAAGCTTGTTTCATAGTGGGGCACAGTTGAGAGGTGGTGAGACCTCTAAGAGGTGGGGTTTAGTGCAAGGTCATCAGGGCATGGGGCACTACTCTTCAAAGGGATCAGTGCATGTCTCATGGAGTAAGTTAGTCCTCGAGAGTGGGTTATTATAGAAGCACAGGACTGAGCTCCCACTTGCTGCTTCCTGTCTTCGAGTGACCTCGTTCCCCATGCATGCTGCCTCCGTGATGCCTCTCACTATGACATGCCACAGCCAAGGGTGTCCTCGTCCATGCCTATGCTGTTTTGACTTTTAGCCTTCAAAACTGTGAACTTCCCTTAAGATTATTTAACATCAGATATTTCTTTCTATTAGTGGAAAACAGACCTTCTGAGGAGAGCCATTCACACAAAACACTCAGGGGACCATACACACAGAGGCCAACCAAGCTTGCTGCAGGACCAGGACTTTTTCAATATTTGATACTGTTTTTCCTGCAGGAATATATCCCTGGTTTAATGACAATACAAGAAAACAAAGTGTCCATTCCTAGTAGTCTATGTAATAAAAGACACTAGTAGATTTTACCAAGGGCCAATGATAATTTATTTCTTAATTTATAAGCATGATTTGACTCCTTGACTCACCTCCACACAGGCTGAGAATCACTCCTATAGGCACGCAGGTTGCACTCTGGGAACTGAGGAGATGTGGTATGTCTCAGCCAGCACAGGGCACTGGTGGTGAGCCTAAAGAATACAAGCAGCAGTCAGCTATTGGTTATTGCTGAAAGTTCTAAAAGTTTCACTGTCACTGGTATAGGGTCTTTGTCAAGTTTTGCTCGTGCCTTATTCAGAGACGTTAGATAAAGTCATAGATGTCCCTGTGTCTAAGATGTATGAATTCTTTTAGGCCAAGGAAAGCTATACTAGCTCTGTAAGTGACAGAAATACATGCTATGCTCAAGTGACAGGAGTAGCAAGAGTTTTCCCCAACAAACTGTAACAGGTTGGAAAAACTGCATTCTATCCAGGCATGCTTATCTTTAAGAAAATGCCTCTGGCTCTCCCTTTAATATTCAGCTGGCCTCTCCCTTGGGGTCAATAGAATGTGTGAAGTTATTACCACACTGGCCTCATGTACAAACCCATCACAGCCTACCTAACCCACTACAACTGCTTTCAGAACCCAGACACCGAAATCCGGATCACTACTGTTTTACTGCATGTCACAGAAGAACAACAGGTAGTCAACATTTAGCTGACAGTGAGGTTTTTTCTCTGTACAGGCTTTGGGAACAAAGGAATTCAAGCCCATATGAGTCATTTTATTCATTAAAACATCACTAGAATGACAGAAGGAAATTGCAGAAACTAGACTGGAAATAAAAGCTTTGGAGCAATATTCTCCTTGAGACTGAATGTTTCCAAAACACAGGGTATCAGTCAGTGTTGTAGAAGTCCATCGAACTATGAGTACTAAGTTTCCCTCTACTTTGGAAATGAGAAATTGATACAGATTGAGTCTCTGCAAACATATAAGTCCTGAGGAAACTGGACTCTGGCTTGGAAGGACAGGAAGCTTATGACTGCTATGCATTGACCAGGTCAGACAGCTATTGCCTTAACACTGAGATGGGATTCCAACAGACCAGGCTGCTAGAGATGAACCTGGAAGCAAAACAGGTTTCACCTTAGCTTGTTCTCTTTCAGGGTACTCTCAGTTGGCAGAACGTGTGGAAACTCATGGTAGTGGGATGGTCCTATGACTAGGTAGGGTGGTTCGTGGCAAAGAATGCTGTGGACCATCTCTATGGAGTACCTAGAATCTAGGTCCTCCAATGAGTAACCTCTTTCCCTCCCCATCATGGCTTCCTCAGGCTACAGGTGGTGGCTCTATCTAGAACTATACCCAGGACTCAAACTACAGCTTTTTACTCCCAGAGAAGGGAGTAGATCTCAGCTGAGTAAAACAGCTACCAAAAAGATTTCATTCACACTCGCTCAAAGCAAAAAGAAAGTGTTGCCAAGTCTACCCATGGTAACCTTGACTAACGAGAACAAAAACAGTGGCCCTTCTGTTTGGCAAACATCCTACAGTTAGCGCAGGAGTTACACACTGTACAAAAGACAGAACCCCATCTGAAAGAAAGCACACCTAAGGACAAAGGCACTTGACACATGAGATTCATGGCAGCATTATTCATAAGAACAAAAGGCAAAAACAAGCCAAATGCTCATTAATGGATGATGAAGCTGGGCGTGGTTGTGCACACCTGTAATCCTAGCAACCTAAGAGACTAACGAAGAAGGGCCACAAGTTTAAATCCAGCCTGGACCACTTAGTGAGATCCCTTCTCAAACTTAAACAAAAAAGAGCTGGAAATGTAGCTCAGTGCAAAGACCCTGAGTTCAATGGGGGACAGAGGTATGGATCATTCAAACAAACAAAGCACAAAATGTGGTAATAAAAGCATTTTATCAATTTTTCTGCAGATCAAAAAAAAAAAAAGTTCAATAACATGACTTCAGTAAAATAAGTTCCAGAAGATGATGCATCAGTTGAGGTTCAGTTAGGAAAACAGAACCCACACAGGCTATTTTGACAGAGAAATTTAACACAGGGAATTGGTTACACAGGCTTAAACAACTGACAGCAAAAAGGGTCAGTGAGGTCAAACAGTAACTGCAATAAGTAGCTACGGTGTCTGGAAAATAAAAGGAGGATGGAGGTGGGCATACGAGTGCAATCCCAGCACTGGAAAGCTGGGGCAGGAAGTCCTGTCTTTGCAAGATCAAGACCAGTCTGGACTACAAAGTGAGTTCAAGACCAGCCTGAAGTGTATAGTGAGACCTTGTCTCCAAAAAAAAAGACAAAAAAAAAAAAAAAGAAAAGGAGGTGGATGTTGTCTGAAGTTAGAACTTTGAGGAAGAGCCCCATCTGGCTGGGAAGAGGCCCGCCAGTTGCTCCAGACAGCTCAAGAGTCGGAGAAGCAGCCATGGAACTGGGCCTTGGGCTGAGGAGGAATACTGTCCACCTGCTGTTCAGTCCTCTAGAACTACCAAGAGCTAGTTCCTAGGAGTGTGCAAAGAAATAGAAATAGGAGCCTGCTGCTGCTGTTGGGCTGCCATGCTGTTTTGGAGTCATTCTGACAGGAATTACAGGCAAAAAGGAAGGAGCAAAAGGCATCTCCTTTCTCCTGCCTCTCAGTGTCTGTGGACGCCCACTGTTGGCAGAACCTGAGAGGAGATAGCTGGAAAAGAAGTGGACTTTGAAGAATGTGAACCTCAACGAAACAAAGTGTGGAGCTGAGAGACTGATTAACAGTAAGTGCAAATGACCTGATAACATCTCAAAATAAGGGGAAATAGATGATTACAGAGCTGAGGAGACACTGAAACCTCAACATTGCCATTAGGTTGCACCACTGCACAATTTGGCAATGAAGTGTTATTATTTCACAAATTGAATAAATAACACAGAAAAGCATGATTTAATCATGGTAAATTCAGAAGAAAAAGACAAAGATTTTCCTTTTTTTTTTTTTGAGACAGGGTTTCACTACACAGTTCAAGCTGGCCTTGAACTCATTTTGTAGCCCAGGCTGGTCTGGAACTCACAGTGCTCCTCCTGCCTCAGCCTCCCATGGGCTGGGATTACAGGCATGTGCCACCACGCCCAGCGACAAAGATACTTAAGCAACTAGCAAGGTGATCTATGTGGAGGATGAAGACATTTCAGATGAGAATATCCACAGTCCCTGAAGTAGAGAACCCATCAAAGATCAGAGGAAAAAAATACTTAGAAATATACAGAAAGTTTTCCCTGAAATCATATGAAAGAACTCAATTTTCAAACATCAGGATTATATTTTAATACTAGGAAAATCATTAGGGAATGATCATGAAACTTCAAAAACGAAGGGGGAAAAGTTTTTATATTATGAGACACAAGGTATTGCTGTGTTGCCCAGGCTGGTTGAGAACTCAAAAGAATCTTAAGAAGGTTAAAGTCAAACCAGTTTCAGACTTTTCCATGGAGGCAATGTTGCTAAAGTTCTGAGGAGGAAAAAATTCTTTTAACAAAAAGCAAGACTCAAGAATAGAAAAGGAGAAAAGAAGGGGGGAAATATATGTATATACACGTAAGACAGCTAAGATAATTGTACTACTAATTTCTATTAGTTCATTTCAAGGAACAGTTTGTGCTTATATTGTCTGATCAATTTTGCATGCCAATATCTGGTATTCTGAGAAACTATTTTGAAAGTAACACTATGCAATATAATAACCATTGTGAATTTCCCATCTTCTTGTTTTGAAATTCTGTATCATTTTTATTGTTTTTTTTTTTTAAAAAAGAATAGCTTAAATTTAAATATATCAAGAAAGTATTTTCAAATGTGAAATAACACAAGGGCTATGAGGCCATAATGAAAGATTGCAAATGGATACAAATTTTTATAGCTCCTCCCATGAAAAGATAAGTCTGTCTTTGGAACCCTGGATTTAAGATTTGTTTGACCAGTGAATTGATGCAGAAGGGATGCTGTGTAAGCTCCAAGTCTAGGCCAAAGAGGATTTGCAACTCCCATTCTTACTCTGCCGGCAAGCACCTCTGAGCAGGCGCACCGGGAGGCTAAAAGGTATCTTGGCTGACCACCAAACCGCAACCATGCGGCCCCAGCCAAGCCACTGCCAACTGCAACTGCACAAGTGAGCCAAGGGAGAGCCACAGAACTTCATGGCTGAACCCAGCCCAGTTCACCACTCCACAGAACTGTGACTGCTCAGGGTAGTTTTAACACAAGTAAAGGGCTGAAATTCATATAACCAAATAAAAATGAAGAAATCTGAAAGAAAGCAGGGAACAAATACATTTAAACATTGAAATTAAGACAAATTCTTAGGGAACTAATAGATTACAATAGAATGTAGAAGTTACAAAGCCTGACAAAGTGAAAAAATAATTTAAGTGAAAAATGTGGAAGTTCAGGTAAGAGCTGGGCAGCGTGTTAATTTGTCTTCAGTAGCAGAGAATTCACTACTAACCAATGCTGAAATAAATATACAGTTTGCAAAGTTACTCTGTCCTAATAATGATTTTTATTATTTTGTTTAATCTTTGGGAAATCTTTTATGAACTGGTCAGTCTTGTGAGGAAATGACATGCATCGAGCAGTTCCTTCAAGTTTTTCTTTTGTTCAAGAAAGAATACATTCAATCTATGTGCAGAAACCTATTCCTGGTGATGTCACTCTATCAATATTTCTTTTTATCCACCCTTCTGTCTGTATTTGGGTAAAAATGGTACTCACCAAATGTGGATATTATAATTTCTGTGATAGTAAAATTGGGATGATTTGAACTTTTCTATATTTCAAGACAGTTTTATAAGCGACTTATATTGTTTTTATAATGATAACAAAGCTACAAGTTTATAAGAAATTTCACAGTCTCATCGGGAAGAGTGCATTTACATGGGGGATGTAAAAATGGCATTATGCTCTAAGATGTGATCAGTCTAAAAATTGTTGGTCCTCAATTATAGCTACATATTATATCCACTGCAGAGCTTTAAAAGAATATCAATGTCTAGGCTTCAGGCAAGACCCATTAACTCAAAATCTCAGGTGGGGGTGGGGGACACACAGGAATTGATAGATCCTGAATGTTCCCCAGCTGATTCTGGTGCAGTCTGGCAGAGAATCTTTTGACATAGACACATCCCCAGGATGCGAGACACATGACTGTGGAGTCAGGACACTCCATGCTGTCCCTCTTTCAGCCAATGGCGGGTCCACACCAGGATCAAGACAAGGAAGAAGGGTAACCAAATACTGACTAGGCTACCTGCAGTCTCAGCCAGAGTCTGGTCTTCCTTGCAGTCATAAAATGCCTGTTTACAGGAACCACGACATCACGTGCTGTTGTTTTCACCCAGGAGAAAGACAGCTTTGTTTGTCCAGATGCTCAGGGTTAGTACCTCATTGTGTCTCACTGGATCAAAATGGATAAGGAGCAGCCATTATAGAACCAATTTCTAGGGAGCACGATGGAACTATTGTGATTGGCTTACTAATGCTGCTCAGATTTTATTGTGATAGGTATTACCAAGGAATCTTGTTAAAATGCAGATTCTGATTTAGTAGGCAGGGACTAACATTCTGCATTTCTAACAAGCTCCTAGGTGGTAAGAATGGTGGTTGAGGTGTCAATTACAATGCCCATCTTAACCACCAAGCACACAAGGTATTTTTATTAGCTGAGGAGCACATTCTTTCCTTGTAGGTAAATCTAATGAGAAGTCAATTATAATCAGAAGGGTTTAATGAGCATGGCAGATTGCAAAGCATATGTGAAGGCACAGAAGGAAGAAACTGCTTCCCGTACTTTGGGAATCGTGATCTAGAGAGGCGATCAGGATGGGCTGAGCCACACCACTAAAGGGCTGGGCTTTAATCTGTGTTATGATTTATATCTAGATGTCCCCCAAAGCCTCATGTCCTTATAGGTGGGGCTTTTGAGAGTTACTGGAGCATGGGTATGTGATATTGGATCAGTGTACTGATTGGTTCAGTGTAGTTCTGGGTGTGGGTAATGGACTTACTGAAGAGGGAAGACTCAACCTGGATTTGGGTGGCACCAACCAATAGGCTTGCAGCCTGGATGGAATAAAAAGGTAAAAGAAAGAAGAACCTGGTGCCTCCTGCCTGCCATGCCATGAACTGTTTCTCCTCTGCCCAGCTGCCCTGCCTTGGAGCCAGGTGACTATGAACTGAAACCTCTACAAGCTGTGAGCTCCAATAAACCTTTTCTCTAAACTGTGGGTGTTGGATATTTTGTTCTAGCACAAGGCAGTTACTAAGATAATCTGTGTCCTGCACAACACAAAACCATAAGGGACTATCTATGAAAAAGTTTTGTAGGGTCTAATTTGGTTGAAGAACACTGCACACATTAGGTCTTTTCCTTGGCTATTTACAATGCCTATTTTGATTTTAAAGGCACTAAGAAGTCTACCTACAGTTAAAAAACAAAACAAAACAAAAATTTTTTCTCACATAGAGATAATTCTTCATCAGGACTGGCTATATAATTTGTGGAGCCCAGTGCAAAATGAAAATGAGGGGCTATACTGGGGATATAGCTCAGTGACACAAGTGCCTGCCTGGCAAGCACAAGGTCCCAAGTTCTATTCCTGATACCAAAAAAAGAAAAAAATTGAGGGGGTGCTTTTCCAAAAGCCATTAAGACTTTCTAGATGAAGTCAAGAGGATTAAAACAATACTACAGCCCTTCTAAGTTAGGCCTTGTACAACTGTCCATAAAGTAGGTCTGCCTGTCGGAAAACTGGTTCTCGCTAAATGAGGTAGGTGATGTATGGTTTGTGCTTTACTATAAGTAACAAATAGCAACTATGGTATCTATATAGCTTTTAGTTAGGGCTCTTGGTTGTAGCAGAAAGTCACTACATCTAGGTTCAGCAAAAAAGCAGCATTGTAAAGATCTAGGCATGTGCCTCAGCCTCTAAGCAGAGGCAGGCAGGCAGGCACAGATGAGAGCCATAGGAGGCTCCTTCCCTCTGAACTCCACCCTTTATAGATTCCCTATCTTTATGATAGGGGAGGTCAGACCAAAAGAACCCAGGTTGTTGTGCTTCCCAGGGCACTGAGGCCTCTTAGCCCCAACTCCATATTCCGAGGGACAGCCTCCAGAAGGTCCACCTATTTTCACCTCAAGTAAGCAACCACGTGGACTCAGGCAAAATGTGTACATCCTAAACCCTCCCCACTGACTGGATTGTGAGCCATCCATTCTTATTTCACCCTGCATCCCACAGTGGGAAGTGAACCCTGGGCCTTTGTACAGAGCTACATCCCCAGTACTTTGTTTTATTTTATTTATTTATTGGTATCAGGAATCGAACTCAGGATCTTGAGCTTGCCATGCAGACACTTGTGCCACTGAGCTATATCCTGTGTCACTAAGTCTCCAAGTTGCCTTTCAGTCCTCCTGCCTAAGCCTCTCAGAGTGCTGAGATTATAGGCATGTGCCACCATGCCCGACTGTGGGACACTTTTTTGTTTTTTTTTTTTACAGTAACATGTGTCAACACCAAACAGTGCACACTTGGGACATGCTGTGGTGAGTGGAGGGAGATTGGGTGTGGAGCACCACAGTCAGATTTACATTCTAGATGGCAGTGAGCAGAACTGACGGGAAGAGGGGAGACTGGAGACTGGAAGGTTGATTACAAGTCTGCTATAGAAATTTAGATCTAGGAAACAAGGCTTGTATTAGCAAGAAGACAAAAAGAGTAGAAATATTTAGGAAGTAGGGCCGGGATATAGCTCAGCTGCACAGTGCCTGCCTGGCAAGCACAAGGTCCTGAGTTCGATTACCAGTACCAAAGAAAGAAAAAAAGAAAGAAAAAAGAAATATTTAGGAGTACCCGGTGTGGTAGTGGGTACCTACAATCCTTGCACTCAGGGAGGCTGAGGCAGGAGGACTGGAAGTTCCAGGCCAGGCTGGGGAACTAAGTGACTTAGCAGACCCTGTCTTTAAAAAAAAAAAAGGTAGGGGAGGTTGGAGGGAAAGGTAAGGCTAGGCAAGTTGTCTATGTGGAGAGCTTGGGATAAGAGAAAAACAAAAAAAGGATGGTTCACAGGGATTACTTGGGAAATCAATAGAGAGATGCATCATCAGTTGTGGTACAGGAGCTGGGTGTGACTTTAGTTCTTAGCACATTTGGTGACAGAATATTCAAATGGAATTCTATAGAGGCTTGAAATTTGGGGTCAAGGTAAAGGCTTGAGATGGTGCTATGATTTCAATGTATCTCCAAAAGCTAACTTGTTAGCAACTTAATCCACAATGCAACAATGTTGGGAGGTGGAGCGGTGATTAGGGCGGGTGGGTTCTGCCTTCAGGAACAGATCTTCATCAACAAAGGAGTGTGTACTTGATAAAGCATCTCCAGAGTGGGCTGTTCTAAAACAGGATCAACCAAGGCAGAGTGAGTGAGGCTCACCTGCAACCCCAGTGTTCTGGGAGCTGAGCAAGAGTATTGAGACCTCAAGCTCAGCCTGGGTAACTTAGTTACACCTTATCTACAAGTAAAAAAATGTAAAAAGGGTTAGGGATTGTAGTTCAGGACTGGGTGTCAGCACACACCCGTGATCCCAACACTCAGAAGGTTGAGGCAGGATTGCTGTGAGTTCAAAGCCAGCCTGCACTACATAGCAATACCCTGGCTCAAAAACAAACAAAAAAACAAAACAACAACAACAACAAAAAAAACCCCGCAAATTCAGCCCCTTCTGCTCTCTTGCCCTTTGGCATTACACCATGGGATGACTCAGCCCGGTGGCAGACAGTAGTCCATACTGAGAGAAACAAATTGCTTTATAAACTACTCAGCCATTGTTGTTAAAGCAACAGAAAAGTAAGATTCGTAGATGGATTTCCGTATCAGTTATGCTTGCAAATGAAAAAGAAGAAATTGTGCGTTTTAACAAGCACAAAACATGGGGAGGGGGTGCTCACAGTTGCTCAAGGACGATGTATATTTCAGCAAAGCAACCACGAAGTCCTGGCCATATAGAACGTCAGAAGAACTAGGGACTGTGTAAACCATCAACAAGTTTCACACGGGCCCAGTACATCACAGCGGTGACAAGATGGGTCCAAATCTTGTTGGGAGTCATTGCTATTCTCTGCACATTCCCAACTAGGAGGGTTGCACCTCACCAGGGCAGGTGTAGAGGTTCTAAACGGCTAGTAAGCCTCTGCCTGTGACGACGCACAGCTGGAGACGCATGTTTAGTTTCCTTTGTGCTTCACCCTAGCCAAGCACTGGGGGTCCACGATTTGCTGAGAGCTGGCTCCGCCTGCGTAGGGACCAGCACTAGCAGACAGTCCACTTAAGGGGTGCAATTTTTCACCCCAAGTGCATCTTCACCGTCCATGCAGAAGGTGAAAATTAAAGGCCTGAATTAAGGTCCAGCTCCTGTGGATGTCAGCACCCCGGAAGCGAAATGCGAGAAGTACGCAGGGCGCGGGCACCTGCCCAGGAAGTTGGAGGAGAACAATAAGCTACCAGGCAGGAAGCGGTGGGTGAGCCATTCGGAAATTCAGGCCCCACGCGGGAAGTCGGTGGAACGCAGCGTCCGGAAACTCCACGCCTGCGCCGTCCGCCCGGGCGTGCTCCCGCTGGGCACCGCCGTCCGGCCCAGGAGGAACGCGCGAACGGCAGAGGCCGAGACCTCGCCGCAGGCCCCAAGGTGAGGGCCGGGGAGCGCTGCCAGAAGGGCGGCCCAACGCGCGCGCGAACGTGCGCACGCGCAGAGCCACCGCCGGCCAGTGCCCGGAGCGCGGGAGAAGGGACGGGATCCACTGAGCGGAGCCGCGCCACGGTGAGTGGTCCCCCTCCCCTTTCTCCCGGAGTGCCTTGCGCGCGCCCCGTGGGCGGGGGGAGGGGAGGGCAGGCGGCGGTGGCAGCCATGTTGTTGTGAGTCTCTGTGTCTCACCCTCGGTACTTCGGTGGTTCGGAGGAGGAGGGGGAGGAGAAGGAGGTGGGGTGGGGGGGAGGGAGGTAGGAGGAGAAAGAAGACACTGCCGCCACCGAAGGCGGAGGAGGGGGAGGACGGCCACGAACGACGCCGCCGGTGCCCAACGGTCGGTGTTCCGGCTGAGGCAGCGCGGTTGCAGCAGCCCTGTAAGTCAGCGCGCGCTCGCTCCCTGTCCGGTCCTCCAGCGCCGCGGGGACTGGCTCCGGGCTTTGTGTGGCGGCCGCAGT